TATCTTTTAGACATAAGCTAAATACTCTGTGAATATGATTTCAATAAAAAAAAAAAGATAAAGTAAAGAGAAACCATTGAGAGTAGGTGACATAAATGAAATAGACGAGCAAGGAAATATTTATCAATGTCAAACCTTGAAGAGTACTGGCCCTGAAATTTTGCTATTCAAGACCTAGCACTTTTAATAAGGCTAACGTTCTAATTAAAAGGATATAAACTATATATGAGACCTAATAATTATAAATTGAATGGCATTATAAAAATTAACATATTAGTTTTTTCTAATTTTATTTTCTAAAATATACAGACTAATTTATAAATGACTAATTATAGCGACTGGGTTATGTCAAATTAAAGTTTAAGGATTGAATTACAACCGAGTCAAAATAATAAGAATTGAGTTTTATCAAGTTAAAGTCTGAAAACTAAGTTATAAATGCGTTAATTAAAATTACAAGGATAAAAGATTAATTTCCCCTAAAACAATGACAATATGTTTCGGGGGCAGAAAAGCAAATGACAATATGAAATTCATATCATTGAAATCAAATCACGTCTAATTCTTTCTTGGCGAAAAATGCCCCATGCCCGTCCGTTGTTTTGTCAAATGATAGAGAATCTTTGTTGATCCTTTTCAATTCTTTGTTGTCTATGTCTTCACTTTATAAATTACAGTGAGTTTATCTCCTCCCCCCTTCCCTGTGTATAGTGACGGATGCAGGTGTAAATAATATAAAATGTTAAAATTATAAAGAAATTAATATATTTAAGCTTTGGTTTAGTAGATGTAAAATTATAGAGATAGTAGCGGCAAATTCTACAAAGTTATACAACATATAGTTATTAATATAAGAGCTAGATAATTAATTTACAAATATTAAGAAAAATAGTTAATTATTTATAATAAATAGGTGTTGTTTATCTTAAAATTTTATTGTTTATGTTAGAATGAAAACCCTCTAAGATGTGCGTTATCATGAAGACTACTTTGAAAAAAAAAAATATAGGAGACAAAGTGAATTGAGATCTTATATTTTGAAACAAATTGAATCTTTAACTGGCTCTTAAATTTAAGATTGGCGGTAGTAATCTTCAAATAAAAAAAATTTGTCGGTTGCCTATACGATAAAGGTGAAAAACATATCTACCAATTTGATCTTCGAAGAACTTAAAAGGAAAACGGGTAACAACCAAGGCGAGACCTCCATATAGCCACCTGAGGAAGCTCAAAGCTTTATAAAAAAATCAATATATTAACCTTGATACTTAATATAAAAACTAAATAAGTAATTTAGAAATATTAAAAAAATTATTTGAATTAGTTATTAATCATCTGTATTAGAAACAATTAAATACTGAGTTATATTTAAGACCAGAGAGTAATTAATATACACTCCTGTATGATACATAACTTAAGAGGGCAATAGGCTCCAAAGAAAAATTCTTTAAAACTAAGGACCAAACCAAAAATAAAAAAATAAAAAAAAAGATATTGAGGTCAAAAGAATTTCATAGGATTTAAGGATCACAATATAATTTCCCAAAATATTAAATAATGAGTCAAAAATAAAGGACAAAAAATATAGAGGGAAAAATGTGCTTCCAAAACATGTACTACCACAATCATGGAAGCTCTGCCTTTTCATTGGCTACCCCTCTTCTACTTTAAACAGCTGTTGTGATTGCCAAAGGAATTCATGGAGTGCCGAGCGTTTGTGTGCCTGACTCCACGTGGGGGTTATCTAATATTTATTATTTATTTATGCACTCACTATCTAATAATTATTCTAATATCATTTTATACTAATTAAATAATTAGATTTTGTAATTAAGTGTCTTATCCTTTTTCATTATTATAAAATGGGATTAGAATAATTATTGGATAGCGAATAAATGAATGAATGAATAAATAATAGATATTAGATAATCCAGCACATAGCCTTAGACACACAAACACTTGGCGCTCCAATGGATTCCCTCAGGCTACGGGTAGGATGGAGGGACATGTGCGTGATAAGCGATCAAACGTCAGCGTTTTAAGGTAAAGGAAGGATAGTCAATGGGAAGGTAAAGGAGAGAAGCGGCTTCCGACAAACAAAAGCTTTTACGTCACCTTACGCCGATTAAGGTAAAAACTGAAATTAAAAAAGCAGTGGATTTGACGAGGTAATAAGGTTTAAGCTCATCTAATATCTGATGCATTTACCATTCTGAAATATGTTTTTAAAGTGGTTTAGCATCTTAAAATATTTTTTGATATATCTAATACTTTAAAATATTTTTTTAGCTGCATCGAGTATCTTAAAATAATTATTATTTACTGTCAGATTATCAATTGCCCTTCCAACATTTAATATTCGATATTCTTACCTCAATGATATTCATGGTACTTGCATTTTATGCCATCAAATTGTTTTGTCTTTCCTATGTTAGAATTTTATGCTCTTCAATTAACTCCTTTTCGGCCAGTAAGTCATCTGCCTTTGGGCGGTTAAATGCTATCGAATAGGCTTCTTTGTCTTGGGGTTCATCTACTTATTAGCTACATAACCAATAATGCCATTTTTTCTTGTCATTACAAGTATCTCTTTCAACGTTCACTCAATCCCTTCGTTCTCATCCTTGCTTTGTTTATTCAAATATTAAATTTGCTTGTCATTTTATTCAGGAAGTAAGAATGGACATTCTCATTTCTGTTGGTGAAAAAATAGCGGAACTTACTGTAGAACCCATTGGAAGGCAAGGGGAATATTTATTATGCTATGGGAACTGATTGTGTCTGTTAGAGTAAATCCCAATAGTAATATGACTTTAACACCCCTCCATTATTTTCTTATAAACATATTTAATCTGATATTTTATAAACATATATGCACATATTAATTAATTATTAATTATATTATCTTATATATTATTAATTATGTTGGAAAAAAATATCTTATTAACAATTTTATTCTTTCAAATTAAAATATATTAACTCATGTAATTTTTAGTAATTTGTACACATAAAAAGTGTTTTTGATAATAACTATCCAAACGTTCTCATTTTATCAGAATCACTTTTTCACAAAATCCATTATCCAAAAATCTATTCTTCAGAAGTTATTCTCCAAACTATGGTTTGGTTTTATCCAAACACTCTTTTATTTTACTTTATTTCTCATTTTTTTCTTAAAATATCCCTATTGATTAAGGGCTCCCACCAAAAAAGATAATTCCAATCATTCAAAACACATGATTAAAGAAGATCATTTAGATAAACAAATAAAACTAATTTTCTTAATATTTTTAAATCTTTTTTGAGGTTTACCTTTTCATTGTTTTGGAATGATATAATTACTTTTATATCTTTCTAGTGTCCCTATTGGACCTTCCTTGGTCTTTAATTATAATGTCTACTTTTTTTAACAAAAAGGTAAACTTCATTGAAACATTAAAAAAAGTTTAACAAAAAGCTCGGGCTGAAACGGGGTTAACAAATAAAAGATAAGATACTTGAATATTTCAAAAGTATCCACAAAACAACACTCAATGTCTGGAATTTTTTTTTTTTGGCTTCTAAATGTCATGGAAATTTTATTTTGTATCATTCTTGCTCTGAACTATTATCCGCTGTTAAATTTGATTGTTAAAAACGCTAGTCAAACCATATAATTTAATTGTCAAACTTAATGATGGATTATGACTAGAGTATTTTTGACACAAAAATAAACTTTCATGGTATATAAAAGCCAAAAGAACCTTCTGGATGCAAATTGCTCTTTAATGGACACTTCTATAATATTTAATATTTAAGCACAGTTTTCAACAGATAAGAATACATGGCAATAAACAAACACCAACATAGAAACAATAAAACTCATAGAAGCTAAGCTCCCATCAAACCACATTTTGGAATTTACGGTTTGAAGATTTCAACGCCGTGGTAGTGATAGAAGAAAATAGACTCCCAGCTGATGAGAGAATATGACAATGATTAAATGATTAATTTTTTTTTTGTAAAGATTAAATGTTTAATATTGGAGCAATCCGTGTGCGCAGCGTCCTCCAAAGACAGGAGATTTTGGTCCATGGGCCCTCGCAATGGGTAGGATAAGTTAGACTCAATCCACACCCGGAGATTTTATGATCTGCCCTTTATTAACCTACAAAAAGCAAACAAGATAATCATTTAAAAGATTTGGGAGTGTTAAAAACATCATAACATAAGTAAACAAAATAATAACAATTTCAGGGAAATAATCTTATAAATTATAATCAATTCAAAATTATATTATTTCTTAAAATTGGGTAAAAATCTAAATATTATCTAATAAATTCAAATTAGCCTAAAACTACTCCCACAATGTACGAATAAGATGAAATACAATATATAAAAATCACGACTTATCAAACACTGTGTTCCTTTTTCTTCTTTTTTCGTGGTGAAATGCATTTTCTAAATAACTGATACACATATTTTTTTTTTAAAAAAATAATTTCAGAAGTTATGTGGTAAAAAAAAGTTGAAAACGGTTTTCTATATAATAGGAATACCTTGTTTTCACTTAGGGATGATGACCTAAATTAGAAAGTAATTTTATTTCAGTGTTTATGAAAATTTAACATGTTATATCTAACGCTTAAGGGTGCATTTAAGATCTAGACCCTGGTTTTGTTTTTTTTTTTGGGCCAGTGATTTTGCGTGTTCTCATTATTTTCAATTTGTATTAACTTATATTCTGCTTCTTCAACTTTTACTGTTTAAAACTTTTTGCAACACTGTAAGATAATTTAATTTAAAAGTTCACTCGAACAGAAAATAATAATATTAATCACATATAATATACATAATATATTAGAAAAAAATGATCATTTGAGAATGCATTTTCTGTTGAAAGACAATATATATAGTGCTTATATTTTTAAATTTTGAAGTTGTAATATCTTACCCTTTGTGAAATGTTAATGGACATTGATCTTATCTGAGTTTCTGCACAGCTAAACTAGGAAACAAGAATGGAGATTGTTTCGTCCATTGTTGCAAAAGTTGCAGAGCCGATAGTAGACTACACCGTGGCACCCATTGCAAGGCAAGTGGGTTATTTGATTTTCTACGAAGACAATTTCAAGAATCTCAAGGATCAAGCTGCGGTGCTGAAGAGAGCAAAGGACACTATTTGTGATGAAGTGGAAGCAAAAAGAAAAAGTGCACATCAAATTTGTGATGATGCACAGAACTGGTTGAACAAAGCGGATAAAATTATAGAAGAGGTAGAGAAAGTTGGTAATGATCCTTGTCATAAGAATGCTGGTTGCTGCAGGTGGCCTTTTCCTGATTTAAAGTCACGACATCAACTGAGTAGAAAAGCAAAGAAGATGGCTGGAGACGTTGCTGAAGTAATGCAGGGAAAAGATAACATTCGTCGACTTACATTCTTGCCTGATCTAGAGGTAGTAGGCTCCACTTCTGCTGCAAGCATTGAAAAGCTCGGGTCAAGAAAGAAAATGAAGGAGGAAATTATCTTGGCCCTCAAAGACCCCAACTTCAGCCGGATCGGGGTCTATGGGCTTGGCGGAGTGGGGAAAACCACTCTAGTTGAAGAAATTGCCAGGCAGGTTAAAGATCACAAGTTGTTTGATGAAGTTGTTATGGTTAATATATCCCAAACTGCAGAACTTGAAAGAATTCAACGTGAAATGGCAGATCTTTTGGGTCTTCGGTTTGAGGAGACGAGCATACCTGGAAGAGCATTCCGCCTCAGGCAAAGGCTTACATATGGGAAGAGTATCCTCGTCATATTGGACGATATTTGGGATGTACTCAAATTAGAAAAGCTTGGAATTCATTTGAATGATCAGAAGGTTTGCAAACTATTGTTGACTTCTAGAAATCAAGAAATATTACGGAAAATGAAAACTCAAAAAGATTTCTTGATAGATGTTTTAAATGAAGATGAAGCTTGGATATTGTTTGAAGATATGGTGGGTGATGTTGTTAAAGATGTTAGTTTGCATGATGTGGCAATCCAAGTAGCTCAAAAATGTGCAGGATTGGTTGTTCTTATAGTGACAGTGGCAAGAGCATTAAAAAGTAAAGATGATATTGATTCTTGGAAAGATGCCTTAAACCAGCTAAAGACTATTGATAACGAAGGGGTGAATGAGAAAATCTATTCGGCTTTGGAGTTCAGCTACAATCATCTTGAAGGTGATGATGTGAAGGCGCTTTTCTTACTTTGTGGATTATTAGGTCCACAAATTTGTGTCGATGACTTGTTGACATATGGTATGGGTTTGGGCATATTCAAGCAAATCTATACTCTAAATGATATAAGACGTCAACTTCATAGGTTAATTGGTTCTTTAAAGGCATCCTGTCTATTGCTTGAAAACAACTCAAACCAGAATGTTAAAATGCATGATGTTGTACATGAAGTAGCAGTCTCAATTGCTTCAAGAGATCAACATGTTTGCAAAATTAGAATGGGTGATGAGCTGGGAAAATGGCCGTCAGAGGAATTCTTTCAAGGATGCACTCAAATCATGTTAGACAGGTGTTACATTCCAAAGCTTCCTGAAAGGTTAGAGTGTCCAAATATTAAACTTTTCTGCTTGGATAATACGAATGAATCTTTAAGTGTTCCAGAATCTTTTTTTGAGGGAATGAAAAACCTCAAAGCATTAGGTTTTTCCGGCATGCATTTACCTTCATTGCCTCAATCTTTTCATTCTCTCATTGACCTTCGAGCACTTTGTTTATATGGTTGTACTTTGGGAGACATGACTAATATTGGAGCTTTAACAAATTTGAAAATTCTCAACCTTAACGGATCATCTATGACAACATTGCCTAAGAAACTAGGGCAATTAACTCAACTTAAGATGTTGAATTTGACTGATTCTGGAATTGAAATCTTCCCTCCCAACATTATATCAAACTTGACCAAATTGGAGGAGTTGTATTTGGGCAGTACGTCCATCAAATGGGACCAAGGAGATTTAATTGAGGACAACAAAAATGCTTCGCTTTCTGAACTTAGGCATTTGACAAACTTGACTATTTTAGAAATTCAAATCAAAGGGGCTTGGGTTCTGCGAAGGGACATAATGTTTGACAAACTGGAAAGATACAAAATAGTGATAGGAGACTTCTGGGAATGGTCTGATAATTATGGGGCCTCCAAAATATTGAAGCTCAAGCTTGCTACTGTCATTCATTTGGAGCATGGGGTTAAAGAACTTATTAATAGAGCAGAGGATTTGTACTTGGATGAAGTAAATGGAATCTCTGATGTGCTTTACCATTTGAATGGGGAAGGATTTCCTTTGTTAAAGCACATTCGCATACAAAATAACGGGGAAATTCAACACATCATTAACTCAATGGAGAGAAAATTAAGTCATGTTTTCTTCCCAAAATTGGAGGCATTAACACTTCAGAATCTAAATAAATTGGAGAACATATGTCATGGCTCATTTGCAAAAAATTCGTTTGCAAAACTTAGATACATCAAAGTCAAATGTTGTGACCAGTTGAAGTATCTCTTGTCAATGTTGATGGTCAAAGCTCTTTGCCATCTTGATGAGATTGAAGTTTCAGATTGCAATTCTATGAAGGAGATTGTGTTTATAGAAAATTCCTTCCCAAACTCTGTAACTGTTGATGACGATAATGAGTTTTGTTCATTGCGATCCTTGACATTGCGATATCTGCCAGCCATTGAGGGTTTCTACTGTGGTATGTTGACGTCTTCAACAACAACCAAGCAGAACTTGTCATCCCACACTAATGTTCCGTCATCTTTTTTTAATGCAAAGGTATTTGTTTCATTCTTTTATAGTATTTTGCCCATGTTTGCATATATAAAATTCTAAAATAATAAGATACTATTAGAAATACTAATGAAAGTGTAATATATAACCTTTTATTAGGAAAAGAGTTGGATTAATACAATTTTTGTCCTTCAAATTTGCCTTCATTTTTATTTTGGTCCTTCAAATTTCAAATCATAACATAAATTTTGATTTCTCAAATTTTTTTTTGTCTAAAACATTAGGCCCCTATAATTTAATAAAAAACCTAGGCTATTTTTCTCCTTTAGGGACCAAAACCCGTGATTTAAAACTTGAAAGATTAAAATAAAAATTTGCACAAACTTGAATGGCCAAAAATTGTATTAATCTTTTAAGTTTGACCATATATGTGCATGATGTTGCTTGATTAGTCGGTCAATTAACGCTAACTAAAACATTATCTGCTGTATGATGGAAATTCTCAACATTCACTGTTCTCATATTACCTTAGTGTTTTTTAATCCTTATACCAATAAATGAAATGAAATTCAAAGTCACTTTGATCACACACGGTAACTGTTAAATGAAAATGAATATATGGGGAATTGTAATGTGAAACTATTACAAATTTCGCATTTGATAAATGATAATAACTTATTTTAATTTCGATTTCGAATAAATATAATATATAATTTTTAATCAACTAAACATTTTTAAGCATTGACTTATAATATGAGCGTGGCATCAGCGGTTAGGCAAAATAAGATTAATAAAAACATTATTACTTATTTCTAATTTTAATAATTCTAAATATTTTTATCATGCTTATAAAATTCATTTGTTTGTTCATCTGCGACAATGAGAATAAGATTTTTTCTTTTTTGACAGGTTAAGTTTTCTAATTTGGAGACACTAAAGTTGAGTTCAATCCATCTACGTAATATATGGCACGATGATCGCCTCTTTGTAGCCAATTCTTTTCACAAGTTGGCTAAACTGAGTGTTGAGAACTGTAACAGCTTGAAGTATTTATTCTCGGCTTCAATGGTTAGAAGTGTTTGAGCAACTTATATCATATTCGAATTATTAAATTTGCTCTTGTGTAGTTGCTATCGTTTCTTATATATTTGGACTTACTGGATTGCCTCACAGGTTGGGCTTCCAAAATTGGAGGCTGTCGTAATAAGCAACATGAAAAGGTTAAAGAAAGTATGGCACTCCCAATTTGATGGGCTCAAGACTATGGAGGTGAATAATTGTGAGAAACTTGAGAATATTTTCCCATCTGATATGCACACAACATTTGAAAGAATGGAGACATTGAAGGTCAGTGATTGCTATTCTGTGAAAGAGATATTCCAATTACCTGCCAATGAAGAGGACACAAGGCAGACACAAGTCACACAATTGAAGAAACTCTATCTACTTCGCTTGCCCAATTTGAAACAGATATGGAGTAAGGATCCCCAAGGAACCTTCCGCTTTCATAATCTCCAAGATGTCCATGTTGAAGACTGTGCAACTTTAGAATATCTCTTCCCATTTTCAATAGCCCTGGATCTTGACCATCTCGAACAACTCACATTGAAATTTTGTGAAATGGATGCAATTGTAGCAAACAAGGAAGGACCTATGGAGGATGAAGCCATATTTCACTTTGATCGATTATACTACTTGCAGATTTGGAGCATGCGTCAACTTGACAGGTTTTATAGTGGAAGTCACAGTTTAATGTGCCCATCATTGAGAATTTTAGATGTCTTAGGATGTGCGCAATTGAAGCTATTGGGGAGGCAGAGTACAATTAACCAAAGAAAGAATGGTGATGACCAGAATTCGCATCTCTACTTTGCGCAACAACCTCTCTTTGTAATTGAAGAGGTATGGGTTATGAAATATTTATTCATCTTAAAAATATCATAAAATAGTTGTTTTCTTTTTAACTAGTCATATATTAATTTTTGTAAATATATTCCATCGAAACGGATATTGCATCACTTGAAGGTGAGGAAAACCCTGCGACATTTCATTTTCTCTATGAAGCATTTTGTTTTTACACTATTGTAGGAAAATGTTTTAGTGTCAGTTAAAATTCACTTTCACAGTGGTTTTGAGACAGATTTACTATTAATGTAATAAATTTGAAAACTTCACGTTGTTTACCAAATTGCCATGATAGATGACTTTTCGCAGCAATTATATTAACATTAATCGCAGTAGAAAGTCCTCAACCCGTGATTTTGGGCATCAAAACGGTGTAGATTAATGAGACTTTTCTTGATGGCTATTTCTTATTGCTTTCTTTAGGTAAATAAACATTTCTTATTGTTATTATATGTAAGAATAAATGAAGTACGTTATTTCAGGTGATTCCTAAGTTGGAAGAGTTGACATTAAATAACAAGGACGCCAAATTGATGTTGATAGACCCACAGTGGAAGGACCACTATTTGAGTAAATTGAAGCGTCTTCGAATGTCCAATTTTGATGATAAACTAGCAGCAACTTTTCTTGACTCGATTGTACAAAAGGCACCAAACTTGAAAGATCTAATTATTGAACATAGTTCCTTAAGTGAGATATTTAGAGATGAAAGAGCTGCATATAAGGAAGGAGAGAACAAAATCAACACCCAACTTGAATTCTTATTGCTGTATAATCTACAATTGCAACATATATGCAGGGAAGGATGCAAAATCGACCCAATTCTTGAGGTTCTTGAAGTTTTATGTGTTGAAAAATGTGCCAATTTGAAAACTTTGGTTCCTTCCTCCGTCACTTTTTCCCACTTGACATATTTGGAGATTATCGAGTGCAATGGACTGATCAACTTAATTTACTCATCGACTGCAACAAGTTTGGTCAATTTGGAAGGCATAACATTAAAAGAATGCAATTCACTTGAAGAAATAGTAACGCAGGGGATGAAAGAGGCAAGGGATGAAATTATATTCAGAAGTTTGAGAACTTTAGAATATATGCTTAATAGTTTTTCATCTAGTCACTACTTCTTCAGGTTCCTGTTGTTGGAGAGAGTTGCTGTGAGGCATTGTCCAAGGATGAAAACCTTCTGCGAAAGAGCAACAAGCACACCAATGCTGAGAAAGGTAATAATAAAAGAGGGGGAAGATGAAGAGTGGTTCTGGGAAGGTGACTTGAATCGAACAATAACAAAGATCTATGAGGACAAGGTATGCTTTTTTTTTTTTTCCGTTTGAAAAATGGTGTCAAACAGAGTATGGGTAGTAACAAGTAAAAGTCTGTTGTTTGACAACTCTTCAATGCCGTTCTATTTAAACTAACATTGGAGCATCTTTAAGTGCAGATTGCATTCCGTAACTTGGAAATTCCTTCACGCCCCTGCTTTCTTTCGTATTTACAAGCAGTAGCCAAATGTTGTTTTTATAAAATTGTTATTTTTTTTTTAACTCATGCATTTTAAATCACAGAAACTCATTTTCAAGTACATAGTTAAAGTTTGCCGAGATAACATAGAAAACCAGCTTTTTTTTTTTTTGAATATACATATTTAAATATAAAACCAGCACTACTTCCACGTGAGCTTTAATTTATATACAGCTAGTAAACATTAAAACTACAGGAATTTTGCGGTAACATTAAACTTTGTTTGGCTGTCAAAGGCTGATCAAATGGTAGATACAACAAAACAAGAAATATCCGAGCTTCCAAGTTCATCTGATGATAACGAGCAAAGAGTGAAAGCCTCATCAACAGATTCTCAAGATGCAGGTATATTTTCATATTCTCTTGTTTCACCAAATTTTGCAGAATGATCAAATGCTACTGCATTGTGGAAATATTATTAAATGGTCTGCTATAATTATTAATTGTGATGCCATGCTAAACGAACAACTATATCTTTTAACATGTTTTTGTAGAATTGTTAGTATAACCTGCACAGCATGTAGACAAGTCAAAATAATCGTAGCAACACTTTTAACCATCATATTAATAATTAGGTTTTAGGTAATTGAACATCAAGTAGTTCATGAGATAAATAATAATACTGTTCAATATTCCATAGTTGCTATGCATAAAGTGATATTTTTTGAAGACGTGGTTTCAAAACATCATTACTCTGCTTTGGTATGTTCCTTGACCTTTACAGATTGTTCGATAACACTGTCTTATTGCACTACTGATCATTGGCATAGTTATTATTTTGTTTATTTGGCAAAATGATTCTTCCTTACTATTTCGGGAAATGATACCAACCGTAGGATAATCACTAACTTGAAAATTTTCGTTGCTGAGAATTTGCTTAATCAGTCTTCACCACCATTATTTTTGCCTAGAACAGACAAAGTAATACAGTCCTTTTACATTTTTAAAGGAAAGGAAATTAATTTTATTTTGCTAAAGGACCATGTCAAATATTTCAAATTCAATTTTATATTTTTATTTATTCATTCAGTATTAAGACTCAACACATATTTGTATATTTTGATTTCAGAGATGAATGAGACTATTGAGCAATTCTTAATTCAAACAACTCAAGAAGTACAGAGCTCTGCACAGGACGACATAGGTTAGCTAATTAATCTTACTTTGGTGAACCTTTGACCTAATACTCTTGTTTTGCTTAGTTAGTTAACAGTGTAGACTTTTAGGGGAAATATTTCATCTTATTATTCACACGTACGGTACACTATATATATACAGCAGAAGAGTATCTAGAGATAAGGGAAGAATATACGGGGAGAGATATTTGGGATAAGGAGAGATACACAAGATATACAAGGAAATATATTAAATCTATCCTAATCCCTTAGGATCTGACTATTAATAATTATTTCTATATTAACTACACTCCCCCTCAAGTTGGATCATAGATGCTAATCATGTCCAACTTGCTAATGAAGTTCTCAAATACATCTTCTGATAGTCCTTTGGTGAGGATATCTGCTAGTTGCTGTTTTGAAGTTACATAGGAGAGGCATATAAGTCCTTCCTCCACTTTCTCACGAATGAAGTGCCGATCAACGTCAACATGTTTTTGGTTTTGCTGTGTTTACCGGGTTTAAAGCCATGTTTAGAGTAGCTTTGTTGTCACAGAACAATTTCAATGGTCTATTAATCTGCAAATATGCTTTTGCAACTACTCTCTCCAGCCACAAACCCTCCATGATACCTTGTGCCAAGGCTCTCAGCTCGGATTCCGCACTGCTTTTAGAGACCACCTTCTGTTTTTGACTTTGCCATGTTACAAGATTGCCCCACACAAATGTACAATAACCCGATGTTGACCTGCTATCTTCTCGAGCTCCTGCCCAATCAGCATCAGTGTAAATTTCCACGGTTCGAGAGTCACATTTCTTGAAGAATAGCCCTCTTCCAGGTGTTCCTTTTAAGTACCTTAATATCCTATAGGCAGCATCCATATGTCTTTTTTTCGGTGAATGCATGTGTTGGCTAGCCACACTTACTGCAAAAGCGATATCTGGCCTTGTATGGGATAAGTAAATCAACTTCCCAACCAACCTTTGGTATCTTCCAATATCTACTGGTTCCTCATCTTTACTTTGTTTCTTTTTTTCTTCTTCTATCATGACTTTCTTCTTGTTATGGCTCTTCTTGGTACTTATAGGGGTTTTACTTGGTCTGCTTCCAAGCATGCCGGTTTCATTAAGTAGGTCCAGAATGTATTTCCTCTGAGAAACAAAAATTCCCTTCTGTGACCTTGCAACTTCCATTCCAAGGAAATACTTTAGGTTGCCCAAATCCTTGACCTCAAATTCCTGGTTTAGAGCAACCTTGATTCTATCAATTTCTTTTACATCATCTCCAGTAAGAACTATGTCATCCACGTAGACAATGAGGATTGTTGTTAACCTCCCATTCCTTTTGACAAACATTGTATGATCAGAGAGACTTTGCTTGTAGCCTTTAACTCTTAGAACCTTGGAGAATCTGTCGAACCATGCTCTTGGTGACTGTTTTAAACCATATAGGGACCTTCTAAGTTTACACACTTGGTTTCTTCTTCCCTTGTCGAAACCTGGAGGTAAAGTCATGTACACTTCTTCTTTTAATTCCCCATTTAGGAAAGCATTTTTGATGTCTAACTGTTGTAGTGACCAATCCAAGTTAGCTGCAATAGACAGTAAAACTCTAATGGTGTTGAGTTTCGCTACAGGGGCAAATGTTTCATTGTAGTCTATTCCATGGGTTTGAGTGAAACCCCTCGCTACTAGACGTGCCTTGAACTTATTTAGTGAGCCATCTGCATTGTACTTAGGAGTAAATACCCATTTGCATCCCACAACTTTCTTACCCTTTGGTAAGTCCACTATTTCCCATGTTTTATTTTTTTCCAATGCCATCATTTCTTCAATTACCGCTTTCTTCCATTCCGGATGTTTAAGTGCTTCATAAACATTGTTAGGTATATTGATCTTGTCAAGGTCAGTCACAAAAGCATGATAGTGTTTTGAAAGTGCGGCATAAGATACATACTTTTGAAGAGGATGGAAGGTGCAAGAGCGTGCCTTCTTTCTCAAGGCAATGGGCAGATCTTCTTCACTTATCAATTCAATCTCCCCAGAATCTTTCCCCGGTTCTGAATCTGGCACTACTGTGGGCATGTCAGTCTCTATTGTCTCTTTATTTCGTCGAGAATAGAACTTATTGTACTTGTCTTTGATCGGGTCTCCCCCTGTCTTAGGCATTTGGTCCGGGTCCGGTAAAGGGATAACTTTAGGAGATGTTATTGACTCAACAAGGGAAAAAGGAGGTATTGGCTCGGGTACATTTTCCTTAGACTGAAATTCACACCAATTCTCCCCCTGAATGGAAGTCTTAGGAAAGTAAGGTTCATGCTCAGAGAAGGTGACATCGTGGGTGACAAAGAGACGCTTGGAGATAGGATCAAAGCATTTGTACCCTTTCTGAGTCGAGGAATATCCTAGGAAAATGCATTTAACCGCACGAGGATCAAGTTTGGATTGAGTGTGATGGAGATGAACAAAGGCGGAGCAACCAAAGACACACAGCGGAAGGGGATGATCAGGATGGGTGAGGGGAATAGTTTCACGGAGTTTGTCTAACGGAGAGATATAGGAAAGAACTCGGCAAGGCATACGATTGATTAGATGTGTAGCAGTGAGAATAGCATCACCCCAAAAATATTTGGGCACATTACATGTGAAGAGAAGAGCCCGGGCAACCTCAAGTAGGTGACGATTTTTGCGTTTAGCGATACCATTTTGTTGGGGTGTGCTAGGGCAAGAGCTATGGTGAACAATGCCATTGATTTTCAAAAAACGATGTAGGGAATGGTTAAAATATTCGGTGCCGTTGTCAGAGTACAAGACTTGAATAGAGGAATTAAACTGGGTTTGGACGTGTTTGTGAAATTCCATGAAGATAGATGAAACATCAGATTTGTCCTTAAGTAAGTAGACCCAAGACATACGAGTATGGTCATCAATGAAAGTAACAAACCATTTTGCATTGGAACGATTCAGAACACGTGAGGGACCCCATACATCACTATGAATGATAGAAAACGGACGAGTTGGTTTGTATTGGGAAGCGGGAAAAGAGGAACGGTGATGCTTAGCAAATTCACAAGAGTCATAATGAGGAAAAGAATTTTTATTGATGTTTAAATGAGGAAACAATCATTGCAAGTAAGAAAAACTAGGATGACCCATCCTTTTATGCCATAAGAAAACATCATTAGAAGAGACAAGACCATGCATCCGGGAACACAAAGCACATACGGTAGAAAT